GGTAAAAAAATCGCTAGAAAGTGGTACCCTTCATCATCTAGCAATGGTACTCGATGGTCTTTGCCTTGGATAGAAATGGGTCCTGCGTCTGGGAAACGATAGCCTACGGTCTTTGCTAAGGAGTTGATCTAAGCTCCCTCTTTGCAACAGGGGGTTTTTGCATATCTCTGCAGATGTTCCAGTGATTTTCTTTTTTGAGTTCTTTTTTTTTTCAGAAGACCGAGGTTGTTCACATTTTCTACTAACTGAATGTGTAAATAACAACCTGAGAATGTTAAATACTTATTGCGAAAGACTCACAAAAATCTTCTCACGAAAAAGTTGCAGAAGTATTGAAAAGGCTTCTTTTGATTCTGAAAGCTATTTAATTTGTTTAGAATGCACTTCAAGTGTGAAGCTGCCGGAGTTCGCTGCTAATAGAACTGTCTTCACTGAGTTTAGTCAGCATGGCAGAAAAGGAAAGAGTGGACTCGTGTTGCATCCAGGATCACCTTGTAATAACTATAAAGGTTCGAATATTTTCATTTCGTACAGTTTTGGTCGAAATTTGAACGGCTCGTAAAAGTGGTGAGATTCATTACGCTTGGTTGCGCATCAATGTAGGCCAACGGTCGATAACCTGTCATCAGCGCGCACGTACCGGGCCGTAGCTGTAGTGTTCCCTGATATGAACCTGTTTGAGCGTAATCACAGGGAAAGGGCAGGATGATGTTAATTACATCCATCAGTCGTGATTCAGTGCAGAACTGAAAAAGAATAACTGAAATGGATTTTTTGCCAAAAAGTATGGGAGTAGCGGGTAATTATAAAAGGAAGCATTGGGTGCAATCAAGTAGGATGTTTTTGTTGTGGAAGAAATGGAAATGTATAACGATATAACCTTGTGGTAGACTATTTCATGCTGACTAGCATTACGGCAATTGAAAGTAGGGCAAGAAAGTACTGAGTTATAAATGGAATGTGTATTGAAAGAGGTTCGTGGAGGGTCGAATTCGGTCTAGGATTGTGTTGTTTAGGTTTTCTTTGCCGTTGGTCTTTTTTGCTGATATTATTTCAATAGAACACTCATTTCAGGTTACTGTGATATTTTCCGCAAATGCCGCAGCGTCGACGCAAATGGTCCTCTTGCTCGTCTGAAGAACTTACTTTTCAATAAAAAGACTATAGAGACGGTGACGCAGTGGGTTCAGGTATGTTTTATGGTTTGTTATAATGCGAGTGGGTGATTAATGTTTTCTTTTTCAATTCTGTCTTTGTATATACATGGATATTTTGAAAGGAAAAATGGTGGGTGGTCGTGTGCGGTGCCCTGATCATCCTCGTCTTCATGGCGTTATTTATCAAGTGTTGTGCTGTTCACACGCCGAGTACAAATCCCAATAAACCACCTGCACTTAATCTTTATCAGACTTTAACAAGGCCGTCCACCTTAATTGTGAGTTTTTTGTTCATTTTCTGTTTTTTTTAAACATCAGTTGCTATTGAATATAACGAATTTGATTCCTTTCGAAGAATTAAATTCCACTTTTTAGTAGTGGTGTGTTAATTGCGCTCAGAAGTTTAACTGGTTAAAATTCAGCGACAACGTCGGCAAAGAAGTCGTGCTCCCTTACCAGGAGCCACACCAAACAGTGGAGCTCCACGACCCAGCGCTCCAGCGCAGCAGTCGGCACCGTCAGGTCGCCCTCGCGCTTCAGCGCCTCCTCTTCCACAGGGACCTCCGGTGGCGGTACCGGTGATACCATCCGGATCTGCTCCACCAGTGTCTACGGTGCTGGTGGTAGAGCCACCTCCCCCGTATACAGCTGCTGCCGATCCTGGTAGTGCTCTGGGGGGCCCAAGAAGAGGCCATCGACGGAATAAACGCCAAACTAGTTCCGACGCGGTGCCAAAAGCGCCGAAATCGCGGACAAAAGGCAAGTGATTTGTTGATTTTAATCGGAGCTCTTCCGATAGGTGATTGTCTATATATTGTGGAGGGTGCTTCGATCAAACAGTTGTTGTGCACGCATTTTGGTTTCCTTGTTCACGTTTCAAATATAATACATGCATGATATGTTCTTCATGATAATCATTGCCAAATCTTATAGTTTTTTTTTCTGACGGTTAATTGATCGACTGTACGGTGACTTTCACCTTTCGTCTTTATGTGCAGGGCTGACATTCGGAATGCTCACTGTTTATCGGAAAAATGAAATGAAATACTCTATATCAACTAGGTCTTTGATGACCGCTTTTTGTTTGTGGAGTTTCTTTGGCCACTAGTTGATGGATTTCATTTCGTTTTCCCATGTAGGTGTGATATTCCCAAAGATCATGCCACAACTGAATTTTCATTTTTTATGTATCAATTGAGGATATGGTATTTGCTCACTTATCACTTTCCCATGATTTTCAGTTTTATTTTAACGTACTCATTGGCTGATTTCAGTGGGTTTCTTTTTCTGTTTTATTCTCAAGGCTTTTTAGGTTGGAATTGCATTGAAGTCTAATTCTTATCGCTTTCTTTCGAAATGATCACATTTTTTTAGGTAACGTTTTTACCCTTGGTTACTCATATTCAATTATTGCCGAAAAGCCTTTCCACACGAAAATATTTAACTTTCATCCTCAGATTTAAGTATTTCTGTACTTTGGTGATTTTGGTCTCATATATTCCTACGCTAAACATTGTTCACCACGTGTCTTTTGATTACGATTGATGATAAAAGTGTAATTTTTGTGCGTCTTTTTGTGAGCTGAGATCATTTTCATTCAGATCATAGATCGTTTTTAGACAGCAATCTCTTGAAACCCCTCTTAAGGATGGGGTAAAGGTTCTCCCGTTGTTTTCCGTTCCTAGGCGTGGACACAATCAAGAGTTAGATGGGTTTCTTGTAAGTTTCTTTGTTTGACCGTTTTTTTTTCGGCTGTATCGTCACAGCGGGTGTAGTTCACTTATACAGAGAAGAATTTTCCGCTTTCTCGCAGCGCGAAACATTTTTCGCTGCGGGAACCTCGGGTCCACTTATGATCGGCGGTGGACCTGAGGTTCCCGCAGCGAAAAATGGAAAAAATCGCTTTCTGTCCTAGAAAACCACACCCCGTTACAGCGCCTTAGCATTTTCGAATTTGAGGTTTATAAACCTTGGTCATTTTCCTAAATGGAGCTATCTATTGGGTTGACCAGAAAATCCTGCGACACTTTGTCCAAAATTTTTGATTGCACCTTCTTTTGTTGAATGAAATATTCAATCAGCAAGGTTATCACCATTACCATATAGGAGACGTACACTTTTCCCGGGCAGCTTCTCAACTCTCTTTAGGATTCCGGCGTTTGAAAGAAGCGAGCGATCCCATTTTCGAATTGACCTCAGTCATCGGTTTTTTTTCTTCAGGATGACGCTTCTGGGCACTAATAGCCCGACAATTAATAGCGGCCAAGCCGGCGAGTAAGGCGAGAACTGCGAAATTTCCAATTTCCGTGATCAATTGATGTGTAGTCCTTCGCCGCATGTAATGGGGCGGGGTAACACAAGTTGAGCATTTCTGGGTGAACTTTACGCATGGCTTCGGCCAAATTTCAGAGGTAGTTAGAGCCGACAATGGTCATCACCGCGTGCAGGTATCCAGCAGCTTTCTGTGAAGAATCAGTTTGCAACCTCATCAAAACACTAAAAACCCTTCTCTACGAAGGTTCCTGCAGGCAGCTTTCTCTCAGTCGAATCCAATAGAGCTTATGTGTACAGTTTCCTCAAAGCTTGAGCTATCTTCATTAATCATCATTTTTGTCAAGAGATTCCTTGATGCGAAGAAGAAGAGAAATCTACCATGGTCACACACTTCGCCTCCCAGACTGGCGCAACCCATGTGGTACCCATTGCGAACATGCTGCCCTGTAACCAAGAACGTAGGGATCCTCGATAACTGTCAATTAGTGCACCTCAGCGTTGTTGCTAACTCACGACTGGTAGCAATCGGCTGCGCCTCTGGGAAGTTGAGCAAATGCTCACCATTCACCACCTACAGCCGACCAGAGCAGTGCTTTACTTTGAGTCAAATATCTCCGGATGCGAAGCCTTAGGGACAACGGGACACGATGGCGTGCTGAACGAGTCACCTCCTGAATACAGCACAGATACTAGCTTTAAAGGCAAAAGTCGGTCAATAAGGGGTATTATGGCGATTGAAACTGAGTATAGAGATGCGAAGTGGAACGACAGTGGAGAAAAAACTGAGAAAAACCGTCGA